TACGCATGAAGCAAGTGTACAGAGTACCCTTTGAGCGCAACTCAGAAAGGGTCAAAGATCTACGATTTCAGTATGTGCAAGTAAGTGTACACTCAGACACTTTCAGTGCTGATGCTTACAGTACAATGCTATGCTACTAGCCTACTGTTACTGTAAACTGCACTATATTGTAGTGTATGTAAATCAGGAGTGCATACAAATGTACTATTGCAGAAGTCTGTCTTTCTGTATCACTTACTAAACTACTTATTTATCTATTTTTATATAGAGAGAGTGTTTTAATTGGATTCCATGGAAAGGCCCCATGAATACATTTTTGTAGATGAAGCAGGGTTCAATCTGGCGAAGAGGAGAAGGAGAGGCAGGAACATAATTGGCCAACGTGCCATTGTGGAAGTCCCTGGCCAGCGTGGTGGTAATGTCACCCTTTGTGCAGCCATAAGTAATCGTGGGGTTCTCCACCGTCATGCAACCCTGGGGCCATATAACACTGAACATCTTCTTACATTTCTGGGTGGTCTTCGGGATGTTTTGTTTGAGCGTGAGCAGCAGGATCATCAGCAGGCAGTGCATCCTGTCTATGTCGTGGTTTGGGACAATGTCAGCTTTCACCGTGGTGTCCGGATACGCGAGTGGTTCAACATCAACCAGCGATTCATAAATGTTTGCCTTCCACCATACAGCCCTTTCCTCAACCCAATAGAATAGTTTTTCTCTGCGTGGCGGTGGAAGGTCTATGACCGAAACCCATATACCAGGGAATATCTCTTACAGGCAATGGAATTGGCCTGTGGTGACATAGGTGTGAAGTGTTGTCAAGGCTGGATCCGGCACACCAGAGGGTTTTCCCCCCATTGCCTGGCAAGGGACAACGTTGCCTGTGATGTGGACGAAGTCCTCTGGCTGGAACCAGCACAAAGACGTGATGCTGAGGCAGAATGAATCTCTCATTGACTGATTTCGCAGTTGCACAACATTTTTGAGTTTACTGTAATGTGCTTTTCATTTAGAGTTTTCTTTGTTCTTTGGGCTTTTGCAGTTGGACCATTGTATTTTTATGCAAGTGCTGTATATACAGACATTCAATACTGTATTACTTGCATTACTTACAGTATACAATATATTGACTGTACTAAGTTGTGATTACTATACTTTTTGTTTTACAGTTTTTTTCAATTGTTTACACGCGATTTTGAAAACAGAGTTCTTTTTGTCAAAATATAATCACAATTATCCAAACACCACAATCAATTAGCAAAATTCCTAGATTGTTTGCAAAATGACACACTTCAGTCAAAACATACACACTTCAGTCAAAACATATACACATATTTGTGAAAATGCTATTTGTTTTCATTTAACCAACACAGTCATCAATGATCATACACTATTGCAGCCAGTTTCACACTGCTGTGATAAATAAAAAACACATTTGTAAAAAAAAAAAAAAAAGATTTTTGGCCAGACATTCTTACTGTATGTGAGAGATAATTTAGGTGACAAAAAATAGTGAGAAACTCACAACATTATTCATGATTTGTTTTGAGATATAAGGAGAATGTAGACAAATACTGTAGGCCTACTATAACCTTACCAAGCACTGCACAACACTTGATGCTGCAGACTGAATATTTCAAGTATTTATTTCAATACTTACAGTATTTCTTACCATAATCAGTTACAGTAATCAACCAACAATGATATCAATTACTGTAAACAAATAAAATCCGTAGACAAATAAAAATTACTGCATGAATTACAGTACATACACTTTGACTCTGAAGAAAAGTAAAGTAAAAGTAAACAGAAATGAAAGAAAACTACTGTAAAAGCAACAAGAATACTGTAACTATCCGTCTCTCCGTCTGGCTGGATCAGGCCATAACATTTCATCCACATCACAGGCTATGTCTTCATTGGCAAGGCACCGTTGGAAGAATCGCCTTGTATGACGAATCCACCCCTGCACTGAAGCTGCTTCAATAAGATCACATGCCTGTTCCATGGCCTGAATGAGGGGCAAACGGTCATAAGGCCGCAGGTCATATACCTTCCACCGCCACGCTGAAAAAAAGTATTCTATAGGATTCAGGAAGGGGGAGTATGGGGGAAGGTATAAAACTTCAAAATCAGGGTGATCATGGAACCAGTTCTGGACTAGAGCAGCCCGATGAAATGAGACATTGTCCCAAACGACAATGTACCGCATCTGGTCCACTTGGTGTAATGCTGTGACAATCTCATGCAATCGGTCAAGAAATGCAAGTATCAGATTTGCATTATAGGGTCCCAGATTTGCATGGTGGTGGAGGACCCCATTTTGTGTGATAGCAGCGCAAAGGGTGATGTTACCCCCTCGCTGCCCTGGCACATTGGTGATTGCCCTGTGCCCAATTACATTTCTCCCTCTTCTTCTTGTTTTTGCAAGGTTAAATCCAGCCTCATCCACATATATAAATTCATGTTGAATTTCAGCAGCATCCATTTGCAAGACTCTCTGAAACACATTAAAGAAAATAGGATGCTATTCAATATCTATAGCACAGTATTTTTTTTGTGACAGAACATTATGAGCAGTGCATGATACCACACCATAGTCAGATGAACAATGCATACCTCCACATACTCATTGCGCAGATGTTTCACTCTCTCTGAATTTCTGTAAAATGGTAACCGATACAGTTGCTTCATGTATATTTGATTTTTCTTTAGGATTCGACCTAATGTTGACAGAGAGACTCGTTGGATGTTATTGAAAATATTGTCATCATTGATGATATTGGCTTGGATTTCTCGTAGCCTGATACAATTATTGGCCAAAACCATGTTCACAATGGCGGCCTCTTGTGCACGACTAAACATAGGGCCCCTTCCACCTTGGTGTCCTCGACCCTCAATCCTATGTAAAAACAAAATAAGATAAAAATAAATAAATATATATATATATATATATATATATATATATATATATATATATATATATATATATATGCAGCCTACTGTCAAATGTCACAGTAAACAATATTGATTATACAAGCTTCAGTTTCAATGTATACTGTGTGGTTAGCTTACCTGTTTTCTCGATGAAATGTCCGAATTACTGACGCAACAGTATTTCTGCTGAGATTTGGTTGAACTCTTTGTCCAGCTTCCATCAGTGTCAGTCCATGGTTGATAACATGGTCAATAAGTGTTGCACGGATTTCTCGAGTCAAATTTGGTCCTCGTCTTCTTTGTTCAGGTTCTATCAACTCTTCAAGTCCTTCTCTACCTCTTCCTCTACCTAGGTGTCTTCCTCTACCTCCTTCTCTTCCTCTACCTTCTTCTCCTCTACCTATGCCTCTTCCTCTACCTCCTTCTCCTCTTCCTCTACCGCCTTCATCTCCTCTTTGAGCTCCCCCTCTCATTCTCACTCTTCTTCTTCTTTTAACTCCTTCCATTTTTGTTGAAGACAGGTGAACTCACCTGCTGCCTTTTATAGCACACCTGAGTGCTGCGTTTTCAAATTAGCACATGTGTGCTTCCACACCTGGTAGATGTGTTTATCCAATTCGTTCATTAGTGTGGTAATTGGCAATCCGGTGCTTTGTAATTACAAGGAAGTAACCTCACGATCCTTATCTGTGTCTAAGGTGTGAAAATGTGTGTAGCGTTTTACAAATCACTGTGTGTAATGTTTTGCAAAAAGGGTGAGGCGGACATTGTGTGTAATGTTGTGCAAATCTGTGGAGGTGTTTTGCTCATTGGAGTACAATTTTGCTAATTGTGTGGAAATGTTAATTTTAGTGTGTAAACAATCGTAAAAAACTGTAATTGCAAAATGCGTTTACTATATAACATTTTTTTTTAAATCTGTAACTACATGCCCTGGACGCTGTGTTCTCCATTTTTTTGATGTAGTGTCTAAGGAACGCTCTGTAGTGTTTATATATCGACTGGCTGTGTGTATGATCTGAAAGCATTGTTTGATTTTGAGCACAGATTAAATGGTTTGAGGCGATTGTTTGACTTTGCCAGAAGAGTCAGGGGTTTTGTGAATGTAGTTTGAAGATTTGGTTTTGTGTTTAAAGTTTTGAGAAAATGGGTAAAGGTTTCAAGAAATATGTCTTAGCAATCGAGAAACTGTAACCTCCTCATTTGAGAGTGAGATAAACATATGTCTCTCTCTCTCTATCTAACCCTACTCCATATCTTCTCTTCCCTCTCTCTCTATCTAACCCTACTCCATATCTTCTCTTCCCTCTCTCTCTCTCTCTCTCTCTGTCTCTCTTCTTCCGTCTGGCATGTTGCTGGAGGGAGGAACGAGGGGGAGGAGAGTGAAAGAGCGATCGAGCAGGTGGGCGGAAGAGAAAAAAGCAGAAAGGAGGGAGGGACTCCAGTGGATTCTGAGGGTAATTTGTGAGATGATGCCAAAATAACCTCTAACCTACTCAGCATTTCTCTCTCCCTGACACCCACACACATACATACACACACACACACAAACACATACATACATACAGAGTCAGTGTTTACAGTTTACTGCCGTTCTCTCATAATTCACTCCCTGCCTCTGTCCATCCCTGATCTGTCTCTCTCTAGCTCCAGACTGGAGGAGCCCCTAAACACAGATATTGGACCAGCTTAGCCTGCTCCCATTCTAACATTAACAATGAGAAAGACTAATGCCCCAACTGATCTCAGCTCAGCCTTCGCAGCCTTTTTCCTACAGCTCCCTGAAATATGTTGTGTCTCTTGGGACCCCGTGGTCATACATCACTGTTGGAGATTGATAAATCAATCAGTCCACTACAGTCCTCTTCAAACCTTGCCTGCCTGTTTATTGGGCCTTTGATAAATAGTCACAAAAACGCTGGGACGGTTGACTCCAAAGTGGGGTCATGGTCCTTGTATAATTTAGATCGCACTTGGTGACATCTGGCAAAAAACACACACGTAGTTGTCTTTCTGAAACACACACACACACACACACACACATACCAGCACGGTCCGGGATGGTCTCAGACCAGCACGGTCCGGTTCCCCCCGTAGACCTGGTTCTCTGTCAGGTACATTTTGGGGACCTCCACAATGTCCCTGAGTAGCCCTCTCTTAGCTCCTCCAGCCCCAGCCCCAGTCCCAGTCCCAGCCCCAGCCTCAGTCCTGGCTCGTCCCCAGTCTGGGATGGCTGCAGGTGAGGGCCCAGAGGGAGCAGGGTGAGGGGCGGGCACACGGAAGCTGTCCCTGTACAGGCTGTGTTTCCTTCCATAGGGTAAGGGCACAGAGGGGCGAGGCAGCCAAGGGTGGCAGGACATGGTAGGAGGGGCTTTGTGGCCCGGCAGGTGGCTGTGGGTGGAGCTCTTGGTCAGGCTAAGGTAGGAGGAAGGGGCTTCCAGACCAGAGGAAGGGGCAATCTCTGACCTGAGGAGAGAAAGAGAGGTGAGAGGGATAGGACACACACACACTACCCTCTAGTGGTGAAATAAAGGAAACACACACATACTCACCCTCTAGTGGTGAAGCCACAAACACACACACACACACACACACATTCACGTACCCACACACCAGAGGAGGCTTTATTCCATTCCAGCCATTACAATGAGCCAGTCCTCCTATAGCTCCTCCCACCAGCCTCCTCTGCCACACACACACATATACATATATATATATATATATATATATATATATATATATATATATATATATATATATATATGCACACACACACACACACACACACACTCACACTCCTCTGGTGTAGGGGTACCTGCTAAAGCGCCTGTAGTCTGCATGACCTGTGCTGACACAAGGATCAAGCTGTCCATAAAGTGCCTGAGAGAAGATATACACATCTATTGGAATACAGGTTGGACATTCATTCAGTCTCATCTTTCCACTCACACATTCAACTGGCTCCATTGTTTACTTTTGAGAGGTAGATGTATTCACAATTTCCATTTCACAAATACACTATTCCTACTTGAGAGAAGTTAACTTCACATGGACTTCAGTCAATTTTTTAAAACTTAAATCCATATTTATTGACTTAGGCCTAAGTCTATGTTAAGTGTACTTATCTGAATCGGGCCCTATGTCAGAGTGTCAGAACATGAAATATTGCCCAATATTATTGTCAGTTTGTCTGTCAGTTTGTTAGTTTGTTTTACCAGCAGGGTGCTGCAGTGGTCCAGCAGGGGGCCCTGTGGAGCAGCCTGGCCCCTGTAGCTGTCCTGCAGTTCATTGATTGGCAGAGCAGCCGCACTGTCCCACAGTCCCTGAGCTGGGGGTGGGGGGGTGCTAACATTGAATGAAAACACACACACACACATACACACTCTCTCGCTTTCTCTCTCTCTCCTCACCTGTTGTGCCAGCTCATTGAGGAACTGTGTGTTCCAGTGTGGAGGGGCCCGTGGGTGCAGTGTGTTGGCCAGGGACCCCGTCTGAGGCTTCCTGTCGTGCTCCAAGCGTGAGCTGACAGAGAAGTGGCCACTGGTGGACACCAGGGGAGAATGCTGGAGCAGAGGGGGCACAGACGCACCCTGAAACACACAAGGTGTGTGTGTGTGTGTGTGTGTGTGTGTGTGTAGAGAGAGAGAGAAGCCTCGTTTATACCTGCTTCTAACATGCATCCTTTGTTCTGATCTTGTCCACATTCTGATTGTGCCCCCATTTTTCAGACAGGGTAGACTATTAAAAGACGCATTGTGATCTGATTGTGATCAGATCTTCTTGACCACTTCTGGAGGTAGTCAGGCATGCATTGGGTCTGAATATCTTGTAGACGGATCTGGACAGTGAAACCATGTAAATCATTATTATCCCAAAATCATTGACTGGTGGCACTATTGATTTATGGCATCAATGTGTCTTAAAAGTATATTAATATAGCAATATTATTTTGAAAGAATAGCTGTCAAATAATTTGCATACAGGAAAGGAAATCTGGTCACAATGCTGACAGTGGATGTATATGAGACACAATTTAATACCATATTTCTGAAAAGGTGGGCACAATCAGAATGTGAACAAGATCAGGACAAAGCAGACACATGCTAGCTCAGGTATAAACGAAGCTAGAGAGTGGGTGTGAACACTTTTTTAAACACTGATGATCATAAAATAGCCTATAGCCCATAGATGTTGAAAAATATAGCTGCTGAAACACATAAACCTACCTAGCCATATCTCTTACTAAAATGAGAAGATTTATAATCAGAAATCTTTTCATCTTTATAGGCCTAATTCAAATTGTAAAACATCTTACTCTTAAACCTACCTTGTGACATAAAAAGGCAAGGGCAGCACATACATATGGCCGACACCTGCGCTTGTCTGTCCCAGCTCTCGCCTGTGTCCCTCCCGCAAAGCCATTGGATTGATGTGACAGTTGACCCAACAACAGGAAATCCCTGTTCCAAAGTCCTGTTCACTTAGCTACTAAAATACCAAGAGCATAAACATGAATGGAGAACACGAGGTATCACACGAGATGTCTATATACGCATGTTCTTTCAAATCAGCAGAAACGGATAGAAAACACGATAGGAGCTTCAATAGTGCTTGAACATTATGCTTTGTTTAGGTAATATCGTCATGGATACCTTTGACGCTACTAGAGCAAATGCGTGCGTGCACACAAGTCACTCAGTGGACAAACAACAGTGGACATTTATTATAATTTTGCCATATTCTCAACGCAATTGTGCATGATCTGTTTTAAAACACCTTTATTTGTTTTATTTATTCAAATCAGTGAAATTATTGTAATTCAGTTCATACAACAAAATAAACATTCTACAAGTGACAACATTTATTTACAAACACCAAGAAAGACAGAAGTGATGTTTCCCTTCACCAGGCAACTGCTGATGTAAAAAGTGCTTTATAAAATACATTTGATTGATTGAAAACCAACAACAAGATCAATGATTTATAAATGACACGTTTTTACTGCACAGTGTGATAATTCATTCTATTGATTAATGGCTGTAGTTTACATGGTTAGTCACCGTAAACCCCAAGGGACTTTTAACTCAAAAACGTATAGTAAATTGAAATCAAAGTAAATGAAAAGTCATTATTACTTCAAATGTTTATGTGGTACTGACTCAAACCTAAATGAGAAGTCACATCAACTCAGTTTTTTAAAGTTATGATAATTTTGTGTTATTCTTTTTTTACCTTTATTTAAGTAGGCAAGTCAGTTAAGAACAAATTCTTATTTACAATAACGGCCTGCAGTGACGCCTCTAGCACTGAGATGCAGTGCCTTAGACCGCCGTGCCACTCTGGAGCCCCTTAACAAATTAACTTTTTCCAAGCATGCTCTACTGCAGGTAGAATTTTGGGAATTGTTTTTCATATCTGTGTTTATGCAACAATTTCAACGATTTCACTGAGTTATAGTTCATATAGGGAAATCAGATGTAGTGGATACGAGCTTTGACTGGAAGCCAGTGGATTGTGTAGAGGAGCGGGGGGACTTGGGAAGATTGAACACCAGGCAGGCTCCAGCGTTCGGGATAAATTGTAGGGGTTTGATGGCATAAACTGGGAGCCCAGCCAACAGCGAGTTGCAGTAGTCCAGCCGGGAGTTGTAGTAGTCCAAATGGGAAGTGCCTGGATTAGGACATGCTTAGCTTCCTGTGTGAGGTAGGGTCGTTCTCTATGGATGTTGTGTAGAGCATTAACCTGTAGTGTACATCTTCAGTGCTGTATATTAATGAATATACTAGAGTTATTATACATTTTTGCTACAGTGTGTCCACCTGAACATTACCATGATTAGAGTGAAACATCATGTTGTGTTTGACACAGGGACCACCTGACACAGGGACACTGAGTAGTCATACCACTGTAACCTAAATCCTGCAAAGAGGGGCTCAGTTAATGTGGTGTGGAAGGTGTGCATGTGGGTCAGTGTTTCAGAGGAGACACTCTAAGGACAGCGTGCTGGCCGGCCAGACCAGATACACTCCTACTCTGTGGGAGCCGAAGGAGGGAAACCAGGGGCGTCAGTTGGGTATGGCAGGTCTCAAGACCAAAAATGTAAAAGTAGGCTACAAAAAAGTAGACAAAAATCATTCCAATCCAGATTAAAATGCAACGGCTGCTTAGTGTATGATTGGCTGGCTTTAAGACCAAACGGAGCATCGCTCGGAGAGAAGCTGCCAGCCTGCACACCTTTCTCTCACTTTAATGAAGCAGAGAGCAGAGACAGTGCCAGACAGTTTGCTTTGCTGGTCAGCTGTTTAGGCAGTGCACTGATGTATTTGTATTTGATGTCGGCATTTGAACTCGACCTTGTAAGCCTGGTGGCCAGCTGTTTTATGCACCGGTTACTTTCACATTGAAGTCGGCATAGGCGGCACATCCAATAGGAGAATGTAATAAAGTAAATGTAATCAAATGTGCAAAAATGTTCTATATAATTACTTGTTTCTATACTTAAATAAATACAATCATTTAAAATACTACACCAGAGGGCATGATTTGGCCACAGAGGATCATTAGCTTCTTTTTAAAATTAGCTGTGGATTGTTTTTAGTGCACAATGTGGGCAGCCTACAAAATAGTTGATTGTTGAGTTGCAGCGGTCAGTGAAAAGCAGTTTAATAGGCCTATCTCAATATTTCTAAATACAATTGTCAGAAAAATATAGTTTAGAAACCAAATGGCTACTGCTAAAAATAAAGTAAAAGAAAATACTCTAGTTATCAAGATTCTCAACTCTCAATTGAGTGAACAGTAGTTTATCTTATTGGTACCAGCGGAGAGCATTGACCATATCCCCGGTAAATGAGCGCATATTCACTGTCTTTCATCATTGGATCAGTACCACTGGAAAGATCTTTGGGGGTACAATACTTTCCTCCTCCAGGCTAGATGGACATCATATTGTTCAATTTGTGGGCCTAGATTAGATTATCTGTTTGTCAGTGTCAGCAGAATAGGCTACTCATTTGTGTCATAATAAAAAAGATGTTGCTTATGTCTCCAGTCATATAAAGTGTACACAGCAAATTGGCTAGTGTTACATTTCTAGTGTTGATTCAGGAGTTCATTTCACTCTGTTAATTTCACTCTGATTCAGGAGTTAATTTCACTCATTGGTGTAAAATAACCCCCAGTGTTGCTGTTAATAACTAGAGTTATTGTTTTACACTGTGGAGAGTAAAACAGTCCCATCAAAACCAGACCCATCATTATCATATTTCCCAGCATGCTCTACTGCAGGTTGTTTTTAATATCTGTGTTTTTGCATGTAATCTTATGCTACACAAAGATAAATAACATACATTTTTCTAAACTAATCCAATCAGTTAGTTTGATTTATTGCACCCATTACTGAAATGGTTGTTCCAGTTTTAATGGTTTGGGTAGCCTGCTTTATCAATATGTATAACCCTGACAGTCATTTTGAATGTGGGTGAATAAAAATTCCAATATATCCAAACTCTGTCTGGATTTCAATAGGAATTACACATCACTTTCCAAGCCAGCATAATGTGACTTGCTGGCCTGATGTGGCCTGTAAACCAGGAGTTTCCTAACACCTCTGAGTTAAGATAACACTATGCCATCAAAGTTAGGCCTTATGATATATGTATGTATATTGTCAGAGTTTAATTTTAATGATAACATTCGCCTATCAACTCACTTGGAGAAAGCCACAGGCCTTTCAAACGAAATAATTCAACAATCATGTCTGTGCCACTAACAAAAACAGTCATGGGTGGTAACGCTACAATTCACTCAAAAGAAAAGGCACCCTGGGAAATATGAAAATTAGGCTTTCATTACACCATTTCATTATATTTCACTCCAATGTAGAGTGAAATTGTGTTATTTTCACCCCACGGTAGAATGAGTGCATTATATATTTCACTCCAGATTAGAGTGAAATCTCTATTAGTTCACTCCAGTGTAGCGGAATGCCTATTAGTTCACTCCAGTGTATTGTGAATTTCACACAGCCATTGTTAATTTTCTACTCTGTATAGGGTTACAGAAACACAGTCTAAATGCACTATTGAAAGTGTGAAATTCTCTGTTGAGATTGGATGCATATACACACCACAAAAGTGTTAAAATTACCACTACAGTGAATTAGCTTAACACTTCCGATTTTGCTGTGTAGTAGAATTGCATGAAATGTGTGTAACGTATACGCAGGGAGTCTGGAAGCAGGTGCAGAAGGTGAATTAAAAAATACAAATCATGAAGATAATACAAAACAGGAGATGCGTACTAAACGTAACCAAAACCAATACTGCCTGGTGACTAAGGCAATGGAGGGCTATATGAATGGAGAGTAAGCAGGGTGGTGATGAAGTCCAGGTGGGCCCATTCCCTCTGCCGGTCCTGGCAGTGACTCTTTAGAAACCTCCCCAGCTCCTGGTTGGTCCTCTCCACCTGCCCGTTAGACTGAGGCCGGTACCCGGATGTGAGACTGACCGTGGCCCCCAGCTTCTCCATAAAGGCTTTCCATACCTGCGACGTGAATTGGGGACCACGGTCGGAAACGATGTCCTCCGGAAGGCCATAGTGGCGGAAGACCTACTGGAATAGTGCCTCAGCAACCTGGAGAGCAGTAGGTAGACCAGAGAGAGGGATAAAACGGCAGGATTTAGAGAATCTGTCAATAACAACTCAAATAGTGGTAAAACCATCAGAAAGGGGGAGATCCGTTACAAAGTCTATGGACAGATGTAACCAAGGCCGCTTAGGCACGGGAAGGGGAAGTAGTTTCCCTGCTGGAGCATGCCGGGGAGATTTGGATTGAGTACATACTGAACATGAGTTGGCATAGTGGGCAACGTCCTGCACCAAAGTGGGCCACCAGTATTTATCGGAGAGGGATTGGATGGTGCGGGTGATACCTGGGTGTCCAGCAGTGAGGGATGTGTGTGCCCAGGTCAACAGCCGAGCTCTCACCCCGTGGGGACGTAGATGCGCTCTGGAGGGCAGGTGGCAGGAGTGGTTTCCCTCTCTAGAGCCTGGCAGATGTCCACATATACATCCCAAACACGGGGCCAACGATATGGGAGGACCGATTGATGGGCTGGAGGACTCTCACAGGGCCCTCCACCGACGTGGAACCACAAGGTGCGAGAAAGCAGGTCCTCCGGCTTCCTGGTCCCCAGGCGGTGATTCTCATCTTTGACCAGGAAATGGTGGTGTTATGAAGTTGGAGCCACGGGAGGCCAAGGATGACTTTGTGTACGGTTGCGGTGATGAGGAAGGGAAGGCTTTCCTGGTGCTTGGGTAACATGGTGAGGGTGAGTGGTGCTGTGATGTGCGTAATTGTGCCGGACCCCAATGGTCGCATATCCAGGGCTTGGACAGGAAAAGGAGAGGAGAGCGGGTAT